TCTTGGGTTTTTCAGAGAAGGCTAATGAGAAAGATTTGCGGTTTATGGCCGGATTCATCACCTGGGATGTAGGGGAAAGTTATTGGGTTGCCGAAAGGAATGAATGTGAAGTTCAGTTTGGAAATGAAGGGAAAGTTCAGTTTGACAACCAAACGGCAAGTTTGATGCCGTTTGAGGTTTTTCACAAAATAAGGGTATATAAGTAAAAGAAGCAAAAAGTGGACTTCAAACCAAATAAATTTTCTTGCAGGACATATCTTCAAACAAGTTCATCTAGGGGACCGGCCTCCAAATTTTCCCAAAAATTTGACAAACACTAAAACCCACTTTGAAAAAGACTTACAAACACAAACCGGCCCAAATTGCAGGCCCATTTTAAAGACCATACAAATGAAAACTTGAAGGTCGATTCTCCTTTGTGGACTTATTTGGTGATAAGTCTATCGATAAAACTTGTTTAATATTAAGTCCATTTTGATTTTTACTGTCCAAAATATCCTCATTAGTTATATTCAATTACAATAAATTTAAAAACTAATAACTCCTAAATTTTAGGAGTTTGACTAACATTAAAATTATCTCTCTTATATCTACTTATATTCATAGTAACATTTAAACACAAAAAATAGTAACATTGTATATTAATATTTGAAAAAAAAATAAACAGTAGTAACATTATCGATAAAAAAAGTAATATTGAATATTAATATTTTAGAAAAATAGTAACAATCAATATTAATAGTAACATACTCATAAAAAAATAATAAAATACTCAACAAAAAATAGTAACTTGTACGACAAAAAAATATTAGTATGCATAGTAACATTCAATATTAAATTAACTATAGTCTTTACAGCAATAAAAGAAATGTGTGTGTGTGAGAGAGAGAGAAAGAGAGTGAGAAATGGTTGTAATATCAAGTTTAAATTTGAATTGCAGATTTTATGGAAAAAAATCTTTCATTAAATGTGAATCAAGGATAACTGTTTAAAATATTGATTTAATATTGAAGATTGTTTTTTAAGTCATTAGAAGGAAATTTTGGAGTTTTAAATAAATAGTGTACTTAACTACTTATTAGTAAGATTAATTGCTTATTGCACATGTGTATGTCAAAAATCAATAAAAATACATATCCATGACTTTGCTCTTCCAAAACTCCAAATTTTTTTCTCTAACCAACCTTTTTTTCTTCCCAACAACCATTTGGTTGCAAAAGAGGTAACATAAAGTGGCACTAGACACTTGGCGAGAAGCTTTTTGGGATTTCCCACCCTCTTTTGAAAAATTTTCAGGTTTATCGTTATTTATTAAAATAATATGAAACAAAATTGATATTTTATGGTACAATGTGAGAAATTATATAGTTAAGGGAATAATGTGAAACAAGGGTAATAGTTTAGGAGTAAAGTATAATTTAGTCAAAAAATATACTATCACTTCTTTAATACTACAGTTCATTGGCTTATTGAAACTTTAATCCTCTCATATTCCTTTAACAGGTTATCTCTTCAAAACCTATTTAGTTTACCATCTAAAAGACAAACCCCCTCCCCCCTCCCTTTCCTGCTCTCTCTGTCACTCTCACCCCGTTTTACCTTTGTTACAAAATTAGAGGGCTAGGGCTACTTGAACAGGTATTTTTTCCCTCTTCCATGATCTGTTATATATCTATTTTCATTGTGTTGTGTTGTTTATTTATGGAATTTTGAAATAGGCATGCTTTTCTTCCTCCACAAGTCTTGCTTGAATCAAAATTTAACCATCAAGTTTGAAGAAGGCAAAGAAATGGTACAACATACATGAAAAATGGAGAAAAATCAAAAGGAAAAAAGAGGGAACCATAAGGAAACCAAAGTCAAGTGTTTTATATGCAAAACCTATAAAAATATTTTCAAAGGATTGGCACCATTAATTACCATGTGTCAAAAGTGAAGCTGGTGGCAAGAAGAACTGTTTTAGAATGGTTATGTACAATTCAAACATATTTTAGATACTCTCTATAAAATCCATGTTGGAGGTGAATGTTCATGTATAGCTTGACAAGAAAAAGGTAAAGATCGAATTTCAAATAAGATTGCTATAGGCCAAAGATTCTTAACTTGTAGTTTATTTTCTTGTTTAAAGGGACAATGGGACATGTCATAACTACTGATGGTAGGTTCAAATCCTACTTTAGATTGTTCGTATGTTAAAATTTTATATCTTTAAACTGATACAACGCATATTGAAGCCCATGTTTCCCTAAGTCCTTGTTGGCATAGGTATTAGTTGTATAGCAAAGAGCTTTAACGTCACTTACTTTTGTTTGATTCAACTAGTTATATGGAATATTCATAAGAAGAAGATGAATCGACTAAGAAAATTGAATAGAAAAATCAATGCACCATCTATTAGGTCAAAACCATTTATCTCTAAATATGTTGGATCTATTCTGTTTCAAATTTGTGGAATTTTATGTGAAGACATTTCTAATATTTAGACTGAGATTTCATGCAAGTGTCTACTGTCTACTAGGAAAATGTGTCTTTATTGTCTTGTGGTTCTATGACCAATTCTTTCCATTGACTTAGATATAGATACTCAACACCTAATCTTATTCTTGCTTCCATGGAGTAAAATATCAACAATATTTTTGGCGAGTCCATTAATGTAGTTGCTTCAGACAGTTATACAGGTAGTTCATGACTTCTCTTATTTCATTGATTAGTTGAAAAGGAAAAAGTATATATTCATGGTTGATTAATATGTTGCAAATGTAAGAGAGAATAGTACACATTTTTTTTTTTAAAACCAAAAAATTGATTTAGAAATAATGTTTTATTTTGCAATATTAGTTGCTTTCACTATAAAAAAATCGTTTGGATAAATATTATGTATGAACATCAATTCTTGGTTTAATAATATGACTAGGAGTACTCGGTGATAGAAGACACGATATAACGTAAATGAGAAGTGATGGATTTGTGTGGGGGGAGGGGGGGATTCAATGTGAATAGTTTTGAGAGGAATGTTGGTGGCCATTGAATAAGTCTATTTGAGATCGTCGGATGAGATTATTGAAGTCTGTCATGTTTTATATTATAGATATTAATCAAAAGAACATGTTAAGTTACGCCTTAGAATGAAAGGCAATTTCGAATCCGCTTTGTCTACGAACAAGGAAGCTATAAGTAATGCCACTATGAATCTCATGAAGAGTTTGATCCTAGTTCAGCAAGAACACTGGCAGCATGCTTAACACATGCAAATCAATGAAAAGTGGTGTTTTCAGTGGCAAACGGTGAGTTGTGCATATGAACCTACCCTTGGAAGGGAAACAACAGGTGGAAATGGCTGCTTATACCCCGTAGGTTTAGGAGCAAAAAGAGAAATCCGCCAGAGAAGGGGATCGTGTCTGATTAGCTAGTTGGTGAGAAAATAGCTTATCAATGCGATGATCAGTAGCACTTACAACACATATAAATGGTATAATACAAGTTACAAAAAACTAAACAATTCAGGTGGTTGGATATACAGTTTAGTAGCACTTGTTTTCTAAAGAATTGAACGATTAAATGATTCTTACATCTCCAAAGCACAATATCATATATTGAAAAAGATTCACGTGTAACAGACGTGTGCATTAACTAGTACGTATATGTGCGGTTTTCTCAACAATTACACAATGTATGTCCTGTTATTGAATAAAAATTTGTGATGATGTTTCAAAATTTATGGCTCCTTTAGATTGTAGTTAAAGACATAACTGTGTAACCATCAAAAAAAAAAAAAGACATCTCTATGCGAAGAAAGTCTCCGATCTTGACTGTAGTGCACATCTACTTTAATCAAATTTCTGCATCGACATTCAACGGAGGTGTGCTATCAATTTAAATATTTCATTGAAATTTAGGTCATCGAATAAAAATTAGATTAAATCTGAACTATTCTTGTATTTTTTTAATTAGATTAAAATTAAATTAAATTTTAAAATAAAAAAAATTCAAATCGAACTCTATCTTATTAATATAGATTATCTACTCTTCCTCTTTATTGGTAGACAAAGTCAATGTTGTAACACCTAAGAAACTTTAAATCTTTGAATTTTCCCATGTAATATTATTATTAGGGTATTTTTTATTTTTTTGATAATCCAAAAAATTCCCACCAACCAACTTCATTTGAACCCATGGCCAATAGTCAACTTAAGCCTCATCTCCATACGCAAGATTAAATTTAAGGGAGATGATTTTAAGGAGCATTTTTGCACTTTAGAGTATCGGACCCTCGACTAAAATGTGATACTTATCAAAATTTTTATCAAATTCATGCGAGTGATTAGATGATCGAGTCTCATTGATTTTTACTAATCATCCAATGATTGTGTATCTAATATTTGAAAAAAAAAAAAACTGGTATTCGTAGCATTATTTTTGAAAGATTATAAGCACCCATTTCAATTTTTTATATTATTTTAGCCTTAGAATCAATAAAAGGAAAAAAGGTTAAAATGAAGGGGAAAAAGTATTATTTTTTTTTGTGGGTTTTTGGAGGGGGAATGGTTGGGCGTAAAAATGGAAGCTTCGATCCTCATTTGCTGGCTTCTTTCGGAAAAGTATGTATGTGGAAAGAAATCAGTCTTCATTCATTTAAACGCTCATACTAACGTGTCAAACAAAACAAGGTTCGGCCATGTGAATAGGATAAAAGGGTCTATAGATCCACTAAAAATGCGCGTTGTACCAAAATTATTATTACAAAAATTAAAAAAAAATTATATGTCAATATTTTATTAAATACAAAATAAAAAGCAGGGTGAATAACAGTAATGTCATATTATTAAAATAATAATTATCAAATAATATGAAAAAATAATTATTAAAATATGTGAAATTCACATTTTTACGTAATATATTTTTTTGTTGGATGGGAACATGTGCCGAAGATAAGGCAGTGCCACCGGGTAATAAATAATTCTTTTTCTGTTCATTTATTCGTCATTGGTGACGAAATCATGTCGTCTAGCCATTTTTCATACAGCCGTCTCGTTACGGCCCTGCTCGCGACGTTTCCCAAAAGATCAAACTAGAAGACTATAAAGCCTTTTGATCACCATCTTCATTTTCAATATCAATCTTCAACAATCGAAAGCTTACCACAATAACATTAATGGCTGTTCCGTACGTTCCCCCACTCTCTCTCTCTCCTCTTTCTCTCTCTCTGCATATTTATGTCTGTGTAGAGTAGAGATTCTGTATGTACGTGTGTTAATGTTGTTGGCTATGCTTACCTGATTGCAGATGTGTTCAAGAGGTTCTTCCTCCAATTTTGGATTCTTCTTCTGAACCACCACCTCTCTTTGACGGTACCACCAGGTATCTCTCACTCTGTAATTTATTTCTGTTTGGCTTACATTGATATGTATCGTATGTTGTGTTCGATTTTTGGCGTTGTGTATGATCTACGCACAATCTGAACAATTGGCTCTATTTTTTAAGGCTATACGTCAATTACCAGTGCCCATTTGCGCAGCGTGTGTGGATTGTGAGGAACTATAAGGTTTGATTTTACTTCTCTTCGCAACTTCTTTGTTCATATCCTCTGTGTTTGTGGGTATGTGTATTTTGGGTATTTTGGGGTTTAAGGTTTCGTTAAGCAGTATGTGAAATCAACAATAAGACAAATTATTTGGAGATGCTATGTAAGATGTGGGTGCAATATTCAATCCAGTGCTGATTTCTTTAGAATTTAATGAAGAAATTCTATTATTTAAAATTTACTTGATAATGATACTGTATTTGTTCACAAAAAAAATAATAATAATTAGGAGAGTTATATTTGTTATTGATTTAATTGTATAACATGTATTTATTGGAATCCACCATTTATTCAAGAATAAAAATTCATCAATTTAAATTTTTAAGCCAGTTTTTTAAGTCTATTTAATATTTTCCAATTTGTCTTGACCAAAGGAAATTGGCTTATTATTGTTTGAATATTGAAATGCAGGGATTACAGGACAAGATCAAATTGGTTCCTATTGACCTTCAAAACAGACCCGCTTGGTACAAAGAGAAAGTTTACCCCGAAAACAAGGCAATGTTTTGTTCCTATATATTTAATGTTCCGTTTGGTACGATGAAAAAAATGAAAGAATAGAAAATTGGGATGGAGGAAAAGAAAATAGAAATGATGAAAAAGTGGATGGATGAGTTTTCCTTCTAATTTATCAAATCAATTCCTCCAAAATTTGACAGAAAGTGGACGAAAAATTAATTATTTATGTTAAATTGTATCTTATTTGTCTATATATCCTTTGATATCTATATAATAAAGTACAATATAATTCAAATTTCAAAAGGTAAACAAAATAATTTTTATTTTTCGCGGTTGATATCTCTTTAAATTTTAATTTAAAGTTAATCTAACGACTAATTTTAACACCCCAAATTTAAATAGGAAAATAAGTCTCTAAAAGTGTGTTTGTGGTAACTTTTTAAAAGTATTTCTAGAATTTATAACTTTTCATAAGTAATTTAAAAAAAAAATAGTGTTTGGAACCATTCTATCACCACCGCACCCGCTACCCCACCACCCAACGACCCCCACCCGACTGCCCTACCACTGCTGTCAGCACCCTACCACCACCACTGCTGTTGCCACCCCATCACCACCACCCTCACTTGCCCCACCACTACTGTCGTCGTCGCCATCCCACCACCACCTCTGCCACAACAACCACTATCATCATTCCTGTCCCACCACTACTCCCCACCACAATCATCACCCCTACTACCATCACCCCCACAACCACAATCATCACCCCACCACCACCCCCATCTATACTACTATCACCCCTACAACCACCACCACTCATACCACTGTTGCTGCACCCTTTTACCACCGTCACTGTTTCACCATCACTCCTCCCACCCCCTTCCCCCCCACCATCACCCCCACAACCATCACCACTACCACCACCACCGTCGCTGTCACCCCAACCTCATAGCCACCAACCCCACCCCCGACCATCACCCCCACCACCTCCACTGCCCCACATCCATTGCCCCACCGTCACCCTTATCATAACCATCGCCACCCACCACTGATGGTTACCATTGTTGTCTACTGTCACCATTCACCACCCATTGTCATCTTATTCTTATATTTATTATCACTACCACCATCATCCCACTATCACTGTCGCTCACTGTCAGCACCCACCATCACCATTGTTGCCCAACACCACCCACTCCCACAATCCACTCACTGTTGCCCACCATCGTCGTCGGCCACTGTCACTGACCCCCACCACATCTACCACCACCACCACTTGTCATCGCTCGACAAATGTGTGCTTCCTATTTTGACTCTTTGAAGGGAAGTTGTTCTCAACTTTTGTTGCTCGTATCATTGTCTCTGTTGTTACGTTCATCCGCAACAAACCTCTTTATAATTTTGTGAATCCTCGTTGTGTTGAATTCTATCTCAGTAATGTTATTTGTTCAGTCACCACTATTGTCGTCACTTGAAAGGCTATTGTCACCTAATTTCACATGCCCTGCCCTTTGCATTTTTTTATGTAGTATTGACTTTGGAATTAAGTTTCTAAGCTTATGCTTCAATTTAGTATCATAAAAAATAAAGTGGTTGAGAGGATGTGGACTTCGTGTTACTAAATATATTCGTTGGTGTGTAAGGTGCTCAGATGGTGATAGTAATGTTAATGGTAGGTATATTTAGAAATCAGTTAATTGGAGGACATTTTTCTTTTGCAATGTGAAACTTATTCATAAGTCGTGATGATTGGGAACCCATGTGCGACACTGTTGAATCAATTAACCCGAGAAGCTTGATTATGAGTCTTCGTCCTCCAGATAATTAGCTTCATCATCCCTTGAAATCTTTTTCTTAAATTGTATCAAAATTTTCCTCTCTCAATCATCATCTTGGCTATTATTGATGAATTTATTTTGGCAGTAACGGCTTGTAGATCCTTTATGCATGTTCATCCAAGCATTTGAGTAATTTTGCATAAGGAACATAAAACCTTATTGAGATACATGATCTTCCCTTCGTGTTCATTCCTGACTTTTTCCTTTTCTACAGGTTCCAGCTCTGGAACATGAGAACAATATCATTGGCGAAAGTTTAGATTTGATCAAATATGTAGACAGTCACTTTGAAGGACCTGCGCTTTTACCAGATGTAAGATGCAAAATTTGTTTGACAACCCCCCTCTCCCTCCCCCAACAGCACACACACCCCAAAAAAAAAATTTCAGAGAGAAGTGTTGACAATATAATAATGCAGGACCCCGCCAAAAAAGAGTTTGCTGAAGAGTTGATATCCTACTCCGATACATTCCTCAAAGGAGTGTATACTTCATTTAAAGGAGATGCAGTGAAAGAAGCTGGTGAGATTATGACCTTGGAAGTGAGATTCATCATGCAATAAATGGTAATGCTCGTATATGAAATTTTTAAGTTTCTGTTACCTGCATCAGGTGCTGCTTTTGATTACTTGGAAACAGCTCTTCATAAATTTGATGATGGGCCTTTCTTCCTTGGCCAAAAATTCAGTCTGGTAAGTCGTTAATCTTCCTCAATGGTGCTCTGAATGGTCACACATTTCATAAGCAAACTGGCATTCATTGCCTAATGTGAGCAACTAATATTTTCGGAAGCTTGTTTTGAGAAACAATCAAAAGAAACTTGTGTGCGCTTATGAATTTATTTTTGGAATTCTCTTCCAGTTCTCAATGATACATGTGATTTTCAGGTGGACATTGTCTATGCTCCTTTCCTTGAAAGGCATCAAATCTTCTTCCAAGATGTTTGGAGCTATGATATCAGGTCAGGCAGGACTAAAATTGCGGCATTCATGGAGGTATGTAACGAGCTAGATTCGTTGTTAACCCAAATATCAAACCTAAATCATGAGAAAAGGTTGGGAGTAGAGCATAATATAGGCCATAATATTATTTTTGTTTGGGAGTTTGGTAATGGACATGGTGACAAAGGTTTATTACTAGAACAGCTTTACTTTGCAGCATATTATAGGCCACAAACTCTTTGGTTCAGGTATTCATGGTTAGGAATGTGCAAAACCTTGGGGAAGCTCTAACCATAGGGATGGTTGGCTTGTAGCCTGGTAGCCTGGTAGCCTGGTAGTAGGTATGGTGAAATACAGGCTTTTGGTTGCTACGTTTACTTCTTCTGACCTCCCTGAAGGGCTTTGTAGTTATAGGAGCAGTAGTAACACATTCAATAATCCAATTAACAGAAGCTTTGCAAGAACCAGGTTTGTTAAGGGATTTCTGATAAATTCCAATTGTTACGCCTTTTCCATGTATAATCTAGTGGTCATATTTCCTACCTTGTTATGAAGAAGTTCATGACCACTAGAATGTACCACTATATGCTCCCCATGCGTCGGAAATCCAGTAATAACAAAGTTCTTGCATCTTGAATAGCAACATTTAACGTAAATTCCTGTGCAGGAGATGAACAAGATTGGCGCTTACACGCAGACAAAATGTGATCCCAAACTGCTTGTTGAATACTACACGCGTCTCTTTTTGGTAATCCCTATTAACCTAATGTCAGGCTTTCTTCGCGTGTGAGAAGGCAGATTAAGAGTGCTAACTCTTGGCTATATTTTGCTCCCCTACAGGCTCAGAAGTAAATATGGTCCCTCGCGCTTGATCAAGATTCAAAACTAGTACTAAATAAGTGGCTCCATGCTCATTCCTAATGTGTCTTGGTCTAAATTCAGGCTTGCGCTGACAGAAAATGGTGCTCAATAGCTATATTTAGGATACTTATTACCTATGTGTTCGTTTTTTATTCATGGTTGGTATTTGGATACGTTTTCCTCTCCTTTTGTTGTATCTTTTAGTTTATGAGAATGGAGTTCATCTCTCTCTCTCTCTCTCTCTCTCACAGATACATTAGTTTAACATGTGAAATAATGTGAATAAAGTGATTCACAAGCATAAACTTGACAAAGATCATACATATTCGACTGTGTGCCGGCCTCTATGTTGGACTTGGCAAATTGGGCGGTTCACTAGCCCGACTTGAGTCATGAAGGAAAGTTAAATATCCCAACAAAAAAAAAAGGAAGTTTCATCATATTAATTTAAATAATACGACACAATAAAACTTAATTGTTTAAAAACCCATCAAGCCCCATATAAAGGGAAAGTCGTAAACCGGGTTATGCTGCTCTTACCTCTATGGAAGCTTCATAAACCGGGTCATAAATATTTTCAAATTAACAAGTGTTCTAGCTTGAAGTTCTTTCTATGCCTTGTGAGAATAAGAATCAGCTGTGACCCCAATGCTTGGGGAGCTAGTAAAAGCATTGCTTCTTACTATGTTCTCGCTCCAATTAAACTAACTGATCACCACTAACGATAAAATGAGAGACACCATAAATCCTCCTCGTACCTAATGGTGTTGTAATATTGATTCATACTACAAGCAATTGCTAGAGGGGCATCTTAAAAATTTACCCTTTAGCATAATAGGTAGCAACTCTTGCTCTCTTGTTGATGGCAGTCATCTTAAATTCTTAAAACAACTAGCTGGTTAGATCTCATTTTTTTTTATTTGTCCTAACTTGAGTTAACCCTAAAGTAGCAAGTTGTCTTAGGGGAGAATAGCTTGGTCCTCCAGATTAGAGATCTGAGCTCAAGTCTATGTTGGAACATTGGTAATTTAAGTTATTTCATCTATGAATATTACTCTGAGATCTATAAATATTTGGTTAAGAATAAATTAGATTGAGCATTATTGGCATACAATCGATTAATCATCCATATCGTCAAGGAGGATTGAAAAATATCTAAAAATTGAGATGCATTGAGTGTGTAATGTAAGACTTAAAATTTTCAAGGACAAAGTGAGATTTCTAAAAATTTTGAGGGGGCAAAATGCTATTAATCATTCAACACAAGCCCCGATGTGGACTTCGACGGAGGACCAAATCTTTGGGCAATTCTGCAAAGCCCAGATGCGAGCTTAAAAATCAGGGCTTATGGAGTCCGGTAACTTCCTAAAAACTTAATAGAATAAAAGAATATTTTTTAAAATTATTAGAATATAAGTACATCTATTAAAAAAAAAGTCTAAAAGCCCTTTTACCCCTACCATAAATTGTGCATACCTAATTGAATGTGAAACTTTCAATATTAGAATGTGAGACTTTCAAAATTATTTTTAATATTTGTGTATCATTTGAATTTTAAAATTTCATATATATTTATATATGCGCGCATCTGTCTATATATATCTATACATGTGTATGTGTGTGTGTGTATATATATATATATAAACAGTAAAACGCTCAATAAAAAAAATAGTAATATCAAACAGTAACACGCTAAACAAAGAAATAATAACATCAAACAATAACATATTCAACCAAAAAAAAAAATAACATCAAACAGTAACGCGCTCAATAAAAAAAATATTAACATCAAACAGTAACACATTCAACCAAAAAATAGTAACATCAAATAGTAACAGTTATATATACACACATACACACGCATATAAATATATATATATATATATATATATATATGATATGCTTAACAAAAAAATAGTAACATTAAATAGTAACATGCTCAACAAAAAAATAGTAACATCAAATAATAACACATAAAACAAAAAAATAGTAACATCAAACAGTAACACATTCAACAAAAAAATAGTAACATCAAACAGTAATAGTTATATATATATATATACACACACACACAGATATATGTGTGTGTGTATAATAATATTGAATAGTAACACGTTCAACAAAAGAATTGTAATATCAAACAGTAACATGTTCAACAAAAAAATAGTATCATCAAATAGTAACATCAAAGATTAAATTTTAAATTAAGTATTTTATTGAGTATGTTATTGTTTGATGCTATTATTTTTTTTATGAGCGTGTTACTGTTTGATGTTACCATTTTCTTTGTTGAGCGTGTTACTGTTTGATATTACTATTTTTTTTGTTGAGCGTGTTACTATTTGATATTATTATATATATGTGTGTGTGTGTGTATATATATATATATATATATATATATAAAATTTCAAAATTTAAATGATACACAAATATAAAAGAAATATTTAAAGTCTCACATTTTAATATTTAGATATTGAAAATGTAAAAGTTGTCAATTAGGTATGCACTATTTATGATATGAGTAATTATGGAATATATTTTAAAAAGAATTTAAAAATATTTTAAAATATCTACTTATTGACAATTATTTGATGAAAAATATGACTTAAAAGAGGATAAGTTTGAAGGTGATACTTAAAGTTAAATAAGTTTTGAAAAAAGTATAAATACTAAAGCCCACTTTGAAAAAACTTACAAACACATACCGGCCCAAATTGCAAGTCCATTTTAAAGACCTTACAAGTTACAAGTGAAAATTAGAAGGGAAATTTGAAGGCCGATTTTTTTTGTGGACTTATTTGGTGATAAGTTCATTAAAAAAATTTGTTTAATATTAAGTCTATTTTGATCTCTATTATTCAAAATACCCTCATTAATTATATTCAATTACAACAAATTTAAAAAGTAATAACTTCTAAATTTTAGAAGTTTGACTAATATTAAAATTTTTTATTTCTCATATCTACTTATATCCATAGTAACATTCAAATACAAAAAATAGTACCATTTAAACACAAAAAAATAGTAACATTGCATATTAATATTTGAAAAAAAATAGCAGTGGTAACATGGTCAACAAAAAAAATAACATTGAATATTAATATTTCAGAAAAATAATAATATTCAATATTAATAGTAACACACTCATAAAAAAAATAGTAAAATGCTCAACAAAAAAATAGCAACATGCATAGTAACATTCAATATTATATTAACTATAGTTTTTTCAAAAAGAAAAAAAAAAATGAGAGGGAAAGAGAGAGTGAGAAATGGTCATGATATCGAATTTAAATTTGAATTTTAGATTTTATGGAAAAAAAATCTTCCATTAAATGTGAATCAAGGATAACTGTTTAAGAAATTGATTTAATGTTGAAAATTGTCTTTTAAGTCATTAGAAGAGCATTTTGGAGTTTTAAAAAAATAGTAGACTTAACTACTTATTAGTAAGATTAAAAACATACTTACTCCCAAAAAATTTCTTTGGCAGACTAAACTCATTATAAGTCCTTTAAAAAGAACTTAACCCCAATTTTCACAAATTAGAATCAAATAAAATATGGCAATCTATTTTGTCAATAAAGACATGAGCGAACGTATTGGGTTATTATAGACAAAGATATGAATTTTTTGATAAGTAGATCTAATAGTCCTTTTTTTTTTTTCCTATTTCCTATTCTATCTTACAACAAAATATGACAATCTACACGTACAATTTGCTGATTATATCTCTTTTTTCTCACTTCTCTCTTTCTCTTTCATCTATTCTTTTTTCTCTCTTATCTCCTTTCTCTTCCATCTGTTATCTCTCACCTTTTATATATATAAAAGTGTAAGCACACACACAACCACAATAATATTAACAACACAATAACAATAACAACCACAATGAAATAACCATATTGACATAATGAAACTCACAATGACACAACCACAGTGACACATCAACACATTCACATTGGCACAACAACAAGAGTTGTTACTGTCACAATTGAACATATTTTTCAGTTACATTAGAAATTAATGTCACACTAACACACATTTTTCCAGTAACAATGGTGGTTATTATCATAATAAAATATATTTTCACAGTAACACTACATAGCAATGTTTTATACAGGTTTTTTGAGTGTGTAAATTTTTTTAGACTTATTTGAAATGAAGTGTATGGATAAGTATTTTACTTACTTATCCTTTAAATTATGCATAATTTTTATTCTCTCCATCTCTCTCCCTTCTATTTTCTCTCCATCTCTCTCTCTCCGTTACTCTCCCACTAATTGAGTTCATTTGGTCCCATTTCCGGTAGTCAACTTAAGCCTACGTGCAAAGTCTCATCTCCACACACTAGGATTAAATCTAAGGGAGATGGTTCTAAGGAGCATTTTTACATTGTAAAGTATCAAACCCTTGACTAAAATGTGATACTTATCAAAAATTTTATCAAATCAATGCAAGTAGTCAGATGAATGAGTCCCATTGATTTTTACTAATCATCTAATGGTTGTGTATCGAATATTTGATAAAATTTTAGTATTCGTAGCATTATTTTTAAAAATTGTAAGCACCCATTTCAATTTTTTATATTTTTTTTAGCCTTGGAAACAAAAAAAGGAAAAAAGGTTAAAATCAAGAGCAAAAAGTCGCCGGGGTTTGGAACAATAAAGGCTTTCTTCTTGGATCAGTGAAAAAAGCTTTATACATGGAGTTGGCTTCAGTATCGTTTTTTACTTTTTGGTATAATACCAAAAAAGTAAAAGATTTCAGTAATTGATAGTTATCTATTAAAAACTCACAATCAAAGTTATTCATTATACATCTATCGTTGATTTATTTTTCCGATACTATACCGAAAAGTGGGTGGTAGATACCGTAATTGAACCCTTTATACAAATGGCGAAAAAAATGAAGGCTTTTATCCTCATTTGCCGATTTCCTATGGAAAAGTATGTATGTAGAAAGAAATCAGTCCCCGTTCATTCAAATTCTCATGCTAACATGTGTCAAACGAAACAAGACTCGGCCATGTGGGTAGGATAAAAGATCTAATTAAAAAAAGGGAGAATTACATTTAGATCCCTTGAAATTTGTCACTTAATC